CCCCCCCCCCAAGCCCGCCGACGCCCCACCTGCAGCAGCAGCCTGGCGAGCTCCCGCTCGGTGAGCAGACACAGGTACGGGAAGAGCGTGGGGCGGCCGGAGCGGGCGGCGCGGGCCTCACTGGCCTTCACGTCCCGCAGCCCCGCGCACAGCGCCTCCACCCACGCGGTGCGCAGCTGCTTCAGGGTCCTCCGCTGCGGGGGCGGGGCGGACACAGGAGTCACCGCCGGGGGGGGGGGGGGGGGGGAGGAGTGGGGAGACCCCGGAGGAGGGGTCCTCCCGAGCCACGTGGCCCACCTCGCACTCTCCTCGCGGCGGTGGGCGACCCACGGGCTGCCCCGGCCCCACGCCCGCCCGACCCCAGGGGGCTGCGATTCAGCCGAGCTTCTCACCGCGTGCAGGACCTCCTTGGTGAGCAGCTGGGCCTTCTCCACCGACTCCACAGTGACGGTGGTGGCCATCTCCACACGCAGCTGCTGCTGGAAGAGGGTCTGCAGCTTCCACAGAGGCAGGTGCAGCTTGGGGTATGACACGGGGCCCTCCTGCGGGGTGGGGACAGTATGACACGGGGCCCTCCTGGGGGGGGGGGGGGCAAGCAGGAGGTCAGGCCCCCACAGGCTGGACTCTCCTACACACAAGGCCCACGAGAGCAGCTGTCCGGCCTGCACGTCCAGGACCCCCACCCGCAGAGCCACATCTGCTTCTCCGAGTCCCCGGAAAATCATCCGAGAGGATGGAAGGAAGCAAGGTGCCAAAGAGCACGTGACAGCCACCCAGCATTTGCCCGGCCTCACTGGGTGGGGGTGGGAACTACCTGGGGAGACACAGCTCAGGTCTCTGGGCGGTGAGCTCGTGTTTACACTGGAAACTGTGCAAATGTGTGACCCATCCAAAAAGAGAAATTGAAAACCGCAAAACCCAGCACGCTGAGAATCACACACAGGCCCACACAAGGCAGGTCTTCTAATGACTGCACAGCGGACAGAGCCCCGGCCACACTGCCCACCTGCTGCTTGAGGCCGGCCAAAGCTCGGGCTGTCTACACCCAGTTCTGGTATGACGCCTGTGCTCTGCCCGCCGCTGAGCCTCTGGGTGGGAACCCAACGGCGAGGCTGTGGCACCTTCCGGCTTTACTCTTTAGGGTCAGGGCCCCGGTGGGGACTGAGACTTGCCAAGTCTGGTTCGTCTGGCCTCTGAAGAGCAGGGAGGGCATCCCTGGGACGCGGGTGGCTCCGAGAGAAATTAAAGGAGGAGACGAGGAGACTCCACAAGGACAGGGTGGTCCCGGCTCATCCCCAACAGGACACGCCCCCCCCCATGGGTGTCAGGGCCCTCTCACCTTGGCGTAGATCTCCCTGAGCAGGGGTGAGGTGTTGACCTGGGGCTCGGGCTGGGGCTGCAGAGGAGGGCTGAAGGTGGGCTGGGCCTTGTGCACTGCCTGCAGGAGCGCGGCCTGCTCCTCCTGGCACAGTGGCACGCTGGAGAAGAGGTCCTGCAGCCGCAGCCCATCCTGGGCCATCTGGTCCAGACACCTGTGGGGGCGCATGGTGCCTAAGGGATGGGCAGCCCCCAACACCCTGCAGGTCTCAGCGCCAGGCGGCCATGGGGGCCTTCTGGGCGGCCCGGGCCCCAGCAAGGGCCCGATGCCCACCCACCTTTGGACGGTCCTGGCGTCCTGGTCCAGCCGTCCCATGCACTGGAGCGCAGCTGCGTAGGACAAGAGGTCTGGGGTGAGGCCGGCATCTTTCACCATGAAGAACACGTAAACCAGCTCTTTGAAGGAGCCCTGGGGAGACCAAGTTGGGGTGAGGGTCCTGGGGTGGCCAGCCCGTCCCTTGAGACCTTGCTCTCCAGCCAGCAAATTAGGAAAAGGCTTGCCGGCCAAGTGCAGCGCAGGCGCTCGGTGACACCACGGCGGGACCAGGTGGGGGCTGGGTTCCCGATGGGAGAGGTGCTGATACCGTGGATGTGAACGTGCACTATTCCAGCCGCTACAAGAGGCTCTTCAGTGTTCTGTGCGTCCGTGTGCTGTCTTCCACCCGCCTGCTCCGGGGTTAGCCCACCTCTTCCCCGTTTCCGCAAGTGCTAGTCCTGTCCCTGGTTTGAGCGCGGCCTCTCTCACACAGGCGCTGTGGCTGTCAACCTCCCTCCGACACCCCCCGGCTGGAGGCACGCCGCGTTCAGGCCTCCGTTCATTTCCAAGTACAGGAAACCTTGTTTGCGAGCATAAGTCGTTCCAGAAACATGTTTGTAATCCAAAGTACTTGTATGTCAAAGCGATTTCCCCATGAGAAATAATGGCAACGCACAATCCAAACATATTCATGTAAAAAATGATTATGGTACTGTAAGGTAATAGAAAATAATATAATTCACGGTATAAAGAGATACACATTAACCTGCATTTACCTTTGAGAACCTCCGTGGCTGGAGCGAGGGAGACGATAGAGAGGAGGGTGACTGTGCAGGACAACTGTCACTATCGCTAAGGGAATCGCTGCTATCTATCGGCTCAATGCAATCTTCTTCTTTTCCTGAGGCTTTAACAGGGAACCTCCCCGGTGACGCTTGCTTTGCCTCCTCTTGAGGGTTTCGCAAAAACGGGACATCGCGTTGTCGTTAAACAGACCCGTTGCTCACATTGCTACAGCCTTATTCGGGCGGTGCTTTGCTACACAATTTTGCAGGTTCCCACACTTCACACATCTCCCTAATCTCGTTTGAAGTGAGGGATTCCTCCGCCTTTTCCTCCTCCTCCGCAGGCGAGGTACAGACGTAGGCTTCTTGTAAAATCTTGCAATTTCAGCCCCTCGCATACCTCGTTCATAGTCTCCAATGATTTCCTTCGACTTCCACCAGAATCATCTCCTTCTTACCGCCTTTCTCTTCAACCTTTTTCTGCGTGGGGGTCACTGTATACGCTGCCGCTGATGCTGACTACAGCACGTGATTAATAAACTTTTGTCACGTGCCATACTTAACGTAACTGGCAGTGAGGCAGCAGAGGACAAGGTCCCTATCTGCAGGCGGCCAGACCTAGAATGAAGCAGAGCGTTCCCGAGCTCGCTCTTGGATGGAAAAGCAAAGGGCTGTCCGCAGGTGCGTTGAGGGGACAAAAATACACGAGCGCCAACGTTCTGAAAACTCACTGAGTTCTGCCAACGAGACTGAGCATCCCAGCGTGGGCGATGATCACCCACCCCCCGCAGAGAACCACTGGCTCAGCTGCGACCACGTGACACTCGGCGTCACGTTCTAGTGAACTGCAAGACCTCGCTCGCTCACCAAGTGAGAAGGTATCAGGAACGTCTGCCTGTCTCGCGGAACAGCTTCCTCGCGGTCCAGGTTCTGCTGTACGTGCTACGTTCTCTTGCAGCTGCTTCCCGGACCACTGGAGGTCTGTGCCGCTGCAGACCCGCTGGAGAAAACAAGGCTCCTAGCACCCCCCACCCCCGCCCCCAGCTCCTGCTGCCTTCATCCAAGGCGTGCCGCCACACCAGGGACCACGGTGCCGGCAACCGGGTTTTCAGGCGCTTGTCTCAAGGACCTCGCCCAGGCCGCCCTACTGGCCGTCAGCGGCCACACGTAGCCACCACGTTTAAACCTTCAGCTCTGCAAATGCTCGGGGGTCACACGCAGCCGGAGCAGGTGAACGTGCCAACGGGGAAGGGACCCCCGCCGGACAGCGCTGGTCTACAGGAAGCGTGTCTAAACCCCACGTGCCGTCTCACCTTTACGCTTTACAGAGGCACACACGCGCGCACGCGGACACGGTGGCTGAGGCTCTAAATCAGGCCCCTCTGCCTTACACGTGGGGACACCGAAGCTCAGAGAGAAGTGGGAGGTGTGGGCCACACGGTGAGCAAGCGGCAGCCACAGGACTCAGGCTGGGCTCTGGGTAACAGCCAAGCCCCATCCCGCATGCGCAGGCCACCCAGAAACCATGACTTCCGGAGCCCAGGATGCCTGTGCAGTCCACGCACGATGCAGGACGCGCCTGGGACGGGGTTAGCAATGCCCCCAAACCCCCACCTACTCGGGACCTCATAACACGGGCCCCTGAGGAATCTTTGCTAACGGAATGAGTTCAGATGAAGCCTCGTGAGGAGTGTGAGGACAGGGCAGATGCGGGACACCTGGAGACGCCTGAGGACCCAGCCACAGGCCCAGGACCACAGGGGCTCCGGGAGCTGGAAGAGGCAGGAAGGCAGTGGCCCCGCCCGCTTTGACCTGGGACTGGAAAAAAATAACTGTCACTTTAAGCCACCCAGGTTTTGGTCATCGCCGCAAATGCAGGAAGCTGGTGCCCGTGCCAATGGCAGAAATGTCCCGCTGTAACAGGGCCCTGTGACCTTGGGGGGAAGAAAACGACCTTCTTGCCTTCACTAACTCCCTGAAGCTAGTGCGTCCCAGTGACGAAGACAAACGTGACTGCCGCCTGTGGGGACCGGGCATCTCCACGCCACGGGCCGACGCAGACGTAAAGCGATGGTGGCCCCTGGGCCTGCTGTCCTGTCCTCGAGTGAGGCCCGGCGGTCTCGGCCACAAGCCCACGCTCACAGCCGGCGCCTCGGTCCCCACGCGACGGTCTCTGCCTCGGGCCTGAGCACAGGGAGGGGGCTCAGAGCTGCGCCCCTGCGAGGCCACGTGAAGAACACTCTTGAACAAGCAGCCCGGGCCGCCGCCGCCGCGGGGAAATTAATGACACTTGGAGAGACACGGGGCATGGCCAGAGCGGACCCCGCAGGGAACCCCACGGCCACGAACGAACGCCCGCATCGAGACGCGCTGAGCTAACCCCTCACCCGAGGAAGCCCCACCTAAAGCAGCGAAGTCGCTGTCCCGAGAAGGACCTGGAAACTCCCCCGGAGGCCAAAGCACCCCTCACACCAGTCAGGCACAGAGGCCCCGGTCGAGGCGTCCAGAAGGAAAGGGACTAAAACGTTCAGCAGGACTCCCTCCTTCTCTTTTGGCTGTTTTGGGAAATCTCCGTTGAGGGCCATGTGGGACTTATGGTTGACAAGCCACGAGAATCATCAGGACGGTAACAAGCACAGGACTCGGCCTCTGGGGCTCAGAGCCCCGGGTTCGGACCAGGCGCTCCCGGGTGGGGCCCGGCGGACCCCGCAGACGCCCCTCCCCCGGGGCCGCCGCTCACCTTGCGAGCCCAGCCGAGCATGACGGTGTTGTACGCGGCCAGCGTGAGCACCCGCCGCTGCCGCCACTTGCTGTGGCAGGTGACCAGCACGTGGTGGGCGAGGGGCAGGTGGCCCGAGAGCAGGCAGCACTCCAGGAAGGCCAGGAGCCTCTGCTGCTGGGCCTCCAGCCGCGCGGGGGCGCCCCCCGCCTCGTGGGCCCGCTCCGCCTCGCAGCTCAGCCTCCGCGGCGCCTCCCGCAGCAGCCGCGCCAGCTGCTCCTCCCAGGGGCTCCGGGGGGTCTCCTGCTCCCAGCGCAGCAGGCGCTCGGCCAGCGGGGCGCTCAGCAGCTGGGGCACCATCCGCAGCCTGTGCTCACAGGCCAGCTGCTGGGCCTGCACCTGCAGCTTCGCCTGCAGCCGCTGCTTGCGCCTCTGCATCGCCCACTTCTCCTGGTCCAGCTTCTGCGCCCAGTGGCCGCCGAGCCCCGGGGCGGTGCCCTCGCCTCCCTTCTGGGCCTTCCTGCGTGGCTGGAAGCCGCCCGCTTCTGGGAGTCGGGCCGGGCGGGGCCTCCTCACGGTCACCTCCGACACATGCGCGGCCTGCAGCTGCCGCACCCGGGCCTCGAGCACTGTGGGGGCGAAGGGCGAGGATGTCAGGGGGACCCCCGTGCGAGCAACAACCTCTTCAGACCTGCGGTTTTTGGGGGGTGGCTGGCTTCGCCAACTCTCGGGGCCTTGGTTCTTTTTTTTTTTTTAAACGATTATTTATTTTTGAGAGAGACAGAGCGTGAACGGGAGAGGGGCAGAGAGAGAGGGAGACACAGAATCGGAAGCAGGCTCCAGGCTCCGAGCTGTCAGCACGGAGCCCGATGTGGACTCGAACCCGTGAACCACAAGATGATGACCTTAGCCCAAGTTGGATGCTTAACCGACTGAGCCCCCCAGGCACCCCTCGAGGTCTCAGTACTATGTATGTCCCCCAATTTTCAGGCGCATACACCCTACCGACTCATTCAGCACCTCTGCGACAGCCTGACTCAACTTCCCAAAACCTGCCCCTCCGTGTCATCGTCACTGGCTGTCACTGTCACTGGCGGCGTGGTCCTTGCAGGCCCTCAGCCAAAAAACCCTTAAGATCGTCCGAGCCTCCACACCCAGCCTGTCAGCACACCCTCAGAGGTGTGGCGCTGCCTCAGAATCCATCCAGGTGCCCCAGGGGCCCTGCCCTCGCCTCCCCCCACGCCCCCCAGGCTGTGGCCACAATGGCCTCAGGGCCTCTGCACACTCTACTCCTGATCGCTATGATCGGTATGACCGGAGTTTCCTGCAGAGTCAGGTGCCATGGCTAGCCCTGCGTCACAACGGCTTCACAGATCACGGGAGTCCCCGACAGATCAACACGTAACCTTCTTCAGTGTCCCTCTGTTTAAGATGCCTTATTTCACATACGTTGTTAATTCACTAACGTTGAGCCCACAGCCAACGGCACCGCAACTGTAAGCAAACACCTATTTCTGGGCGGCTGGCTGGCTCAGACGGTTAAGCGTCTGACGCTTGATGTCGGCTCAGCTCATGAGCTCACAGTGTGTGAGTTCGAGCCCTGTGCTGGGTTCTACACTGTTGGTGTGGAGCCTAGCTGGGATTCTGTCTCCCTCTCTCTCTCTCAAATCAATTAAGTAAACATTAAAAAAATAAAAAACGAAAATGTGTATTTTCCCCAAAAGGCACATCACAGCCTTCTCGAACTTACGCCAGTAGAAAACACCGTGGCACTATGCTTGGGGACCACTTTAAACAGCAAAATCAGCAACAGACAGCCCCCAAAATGCAGAAACGTGGCACTACACATACCTTGAGAAGGACACTTGTTTACAATATGTGCTAAAACAAAAGGCCAGTGTGTCACCTGCTTCAACCCCAGCTGGGGACGGGGACATCGGGCAGCTCCAGTATTTGCTGCTCTGCACGTGTCCACAAGGGACTGGGATTTGGGGGTTACGGATGGAGTTTAGTTCTTAGGTAACTGTGCAAATACTACTGAGGACCAGCGGCACCCACGCAGTCCAGCCTCGGTCCAACAAAGACTTGCTGGAGTAAACTGAAGAGGCAGGGAGGCCTTGGCCCTTGTAGGAGCCAACACGTGGGGCGTGCATGTGGGGCACCCGTGTCTGTCGAGGAGGTGAGGCCGACATGACGTGGCTGTGCGCACAGCTTTTCTCCCCGCGGTGGCAACAGTGCCTTTGGATGACAAGGCAGGCAAAGGCCACATGGACCTGTGACTTGGGGGGGGGGGGGGGGTATTAGCTTTTCCTATGCTAGAGGACAGAGTTGGCGGGTTTTTAGGCTGGAGAGTGATGTAATGTGATTCAGACTTCCAGAACCTTCCTCCATTGAACATAGGATACTCGGGCTTTAAGACAATTAGGTAGTGAGTAAGAAACGAAAGAAGGTTGCTGTTGAGGACGACGGTACTCTACTTCTCTATGTTCAGAATTTCCTGAAACAAACTTTTCCTTTTTAGACACACTGGAGACGCGGGGCAGGGGGGAAGCAGGAAGCAGTGGCCATGGTCTGGGGGGCTCCAGTGAGGGAACACACACGCCCCCACCTCCCTGTGGCGGTGCCGGGACTGGGCCGGCCGTCCCACGCTGTGAAGATGGCAGGACCCCGACTGGACCCCTCGGGCGCCCAAGCCCAGACAGCCGAGCCAGGGCACGTGTGTCAGTTCAGGATTCGAATCCTGACTCTGCAGGAGCAGTTCGTGCAGCCTTGGGCCAGCCTCTCCAGCTACCACGTTGGGCCTCACCAGGAGAGTAGGGGCGCCTGCAGGGTTCGGGGAAAGGGAAACAACAGCCCTCTGTGTACAGCACAAGCTTCCTGTCACCATCCGCATGAGGACACTGAGGGCAGGGGAACCATTCGGTTACCCTGCTTTGCAGAATGCAGCCCTTCTCGTGGTGTCACTGTGAGGAAACGGGGAGGTAACCCCCCAGCAGAGTGCCCGTGGCTGGGAGGGGCGGGGGGACAGAGGGGAGGGGCTTCAGGCTCCAAGCCTTCAAGCCTTGGGGGTCTGGGCTCACCCTCCAGCAGCTCCGCGTGGCCCCAGTCCTTCCGGCGGTCTTGCTCACAAGGGCTGGCGGACAAGCTCCTTCTGCGGCCCCAGACACCACTGAGGGCCCCTGTGGGCGAAAGAGAGAGGCTGAGGGAGGCAGAAGGAGGCCCGCGGCCTGGGGAGCTGGGAGGGCCTCGTGTGGACAGAAATCGCAGGATCCTGGGGCAAAAGAGCTCTAAATTCATTGCAAACCGTCAGTGGTCACGGGCCTCACGTTGGAAAGAACCCAAGAGGTAAAAGGTGAAGGGGACCTTACAGAAAAGAAATTTGGGCGTGGGATCAACATAAAGGGCTCCTCCAACTAAAGGTGCTGTGAGAGTTCAAAGGTCAAGGGCCCTAAGTCGCAAAGAAGGGGTCAGGGGACTCCAAAAGAAACCAAGAGTCAAGCGTCAAAGTGCTGTGCCGATCCCCATCGGGGGAGTGGCCTAAGGGCGAGTGAAAGCGGGGTCCAGCCAATGGGTTCCACAGAACCACACTGGGCAAGGAGCAAAGGTGGGGGGTTGCTGGATCCCGGGGACCTAAAAGCCGAAGGTCACGGCCGTGGGGAGAGGAGGCTGTGGCAGCGGCCATGGCGTCACCCTCGGGTCTCCCCCGCGTTACCTTCCTCGGCCAGGGGGCCGGGGGGGCCCGCAGGCCACAGGGCCCTCCGGAGACCGGACGCGCTGCGGCCCCAGCGAAACGCCGACATTCCGCACGCCGACCGCCGCGCCGCCCGCGCTGTTCGCACCGCCCACACCGCGCCTGCGCCGCCTGCGCCTGCCGGGAGTTGTAGTTCCACAGCCTACGGCGGCTGTGAAGGGACCTCACGGCGAGAGGAGGCAGCCGGAACCACGATTCCCAGGGAGCAGCGGGGCCCGGGAGTCTCCGACGCATGCGCCGATAAAGCCCTCTAATTGGCTCTTCCTCCTGCCAGGGAGGGGCGGGACAGAGCCGTTGCTTGGGTAACCCGGGGTGACTCTAAGGCGTCTTCGGGAGGACCGGGAAGCCGGATTGTTGTTGTTGTTGTTGTTGTTCTTCTTCTTTCTTTTCTTTCCTAAAGGAATGGTCGCCAAATAGTTAAGACAGCATTCTGCATTTTAGAGATTCCTGTCTGCGATCTTCATTGCTCCGACTTTGACTTTGGAGCGGCAACTATGACTAGCCCCAGTTTATTGCGGAGGAAGTTGAGGCTGGGAGAGGTCGAGCAAGTTGCCCCAACATTAGGGAGACCGCAGTGAAGGCAGAGGTCTGTCTGACTCCCAGCCCCAGACCAGGGGCAGCTGGGAGGGACGTCGTTTCCAGGACGTCTCCCTCGTCCACTCCCTCCAGTCCCAAGGACAGGAGCAGAGCAGGGCGTGAAAAGCAGAGCAACCTACTAAACTGATTTGATGAAAAATGGAATGAGCCCGGAGCCTGAAAGTTCCCAGTCCTGATCTTCAGGGTGGTCTCACTCGGGAGTAGTCAGAGCCAGAGCTTCAGAATCAGACCAGGAAGGCACTTGGGAAACTGAGGCGGGGGGGAGAGGAGCATCAGCTGGCATGGAAGGATGAAACTAAGAGTATCTGGGGTAACTGTGTTCCAGGCAGAGTTCACCGCAAGTGCAAAGGCCCTGAGGCAGAGTCAGGTGTGGATACCTGGAGAAACTTGAGCAGAGAGGGGGTTAGGAAGAAGAAGCTAAGACAAAGCTGGAGGAGTTCTCAAGGGTCCAGGCCAGTGGGCCTTAGGGGCTTCAGCTCAAGCTGCCACCTGCCCTTGGGCTCTCAGACTTGGTTATCACATTAGCCCAGAGTGGAAGCTGGACCTGTGCTCTAGAAGGGCCAGCCTCCTCGGCCTGGCGGCCTCTTGAAAGCACATTCCAGACGCAGCTGCCCACGCGGGCCTGTGCAGTATGATTCCACCGGCTGGGAATGTTTTCAGCAGACAGCAGCGTCCTCTCAAACCTGCCCCAACCCACTCCAAGATGCCCCAGGGGCCTCGACCTCAGATCTGACTCACTCCTGGGATGGCCTTCCTGGCCCTGAGGGGCTGAATCAGTATGGCCTGGTCTCCCCAAGACCTAGATACGCCCCCCTCGGACCCCCCTCAGTCTGGCAGAGCCAGGAACCTGTGCTGGAAGCCTAGACTTTGGAATCGGTGTGCCTTTTTTGATGCCTTGGTCGTCTCTTATATGCAACGGGGCATCAGATGCCCTAAAGCATATTCCCCTGGAACCAGGGTCCTGGAACTTAGCAGTGAGAAAGTTCTTTCTGCTCCCACTCAGGCACAGGAGGTCTTGCTGAGTGCTGCCTACATCTGACTCCTACCTCAGCTCTCTGGCTGTGATCCTATCGGTCTGAGAATTTGTCACATGGTCGTCTCCTCAGTGTTTCTTTTTATGGCTTATCGTCAATCATGTCTGTGTGTGGTTCTGGTTTTCCACTCCTGATGGTGACATCAAGTTTCCTTGTAAAACTTAGGTAAGAAAAATATGAATAACACACAGGACAGGTGGAGGCAGATGTAATTAAACGGGGAACACAGCGTCAGAGGTTGGAATTTGGGCAACACCGTGTTTCAGAAGCTGTTTGCTTATGTCGGGTTCTGACCCAAAATGTTTGGTCAGATTCGTGCCATGAGACATTCAGATGAGCCTGGGTTGTGTCCATGTTGAGAAAGGTGGAGAAAGGCCAGGATCTCTAGATGGGAGGAGATGGTATCAGCCCCCTAGGGCTGCGTGTACCTTCAACAACAGAAAGTTATTCTCTCACATTTCTGCAGACCAGACGGGCAACGTCAGTATCTGTGAGCTGAAATAAAGGTGTGGCAGGGCTGTGCTCCCACTGGAGGCTCCAGGGGAGGGTCCTTCCCACCTCCTCCAGCTTCTGGGGGCTCCACGCGTCCCTTGGCCTGTGGCTGAGCCCCTCCAGTGTCTGCCTCCGTGGTCACGTGGCCTCCTCTGTGTCTATGTCAAATCTCCCTCTTCTGCTTCTCTTATAAGGACACTTGTGACTGTATTTACGGCCCACTGGGATGATTTCCTCATCTGAAAATCTTAATTGTATCTGCCAAGACTCTTTTTCCAAATGAGGTAAAATTCACAGGTTCCTGGGATGAGAATATGGATATATCTTGGGGGACCGTTAATCAGCGGATCAGAGACTATCCTGAGTTTGTGATCAGGAAAAAAAAAAAAAAAAAAAAAAAAAAACTATTGAAGGACATTGTGGGGACAACAGGGGCCATCTGAGCATGGATGGTGGATTAAATTGCAGTTTGGTTATGACAGAGGACCTTGCCTTCGGGAGATACATCCACATGTTTAGAGGTGAACTGGTACCATCCCTGTGGCTTATTCTCGAATACCCACTTACGTAAAAAGATTACGCGCGTGTGTGTGTGTGGAGGCATAATGTCAACAGTGCACAGGTCAAGAATATAGCTCAGTTTCCACCAACCGGACACATGGGTATTCCGAAACATGCCCCGCCCCTGAAGCCCCCTCACGGTCCCATAGCTGCCCCAAGAGTGACACCCACATCCTGATGCCTCACACCGTGGCTGCTTCGGCCCCGTTGCAGACTGTGACATAAATGGACCTCCTTGTGTCAGGCTACTTCTACACAACATTGTGTCTGAAATTCATCCACACTGTGCTGTTCCTGGGGGCGCCTGGGTGGCTCAGTCGGTTGAGCGTCCGACTTCGGCTTGGGTCATGAGCTCACGGTTCGTGGGTTCGAGCCCCGCGTCGGGCTCTGTGCTGACCGCTTGCTCAGAGCCTGAAGCCTGCTTCGGGTTCTGTGTCTCCTTCTCCCTCTGCCCCTCCCCCACTCACGCTTCATCTCACTCTGTTTCTCAAAAATAAATGTCAAAAAATTTTTTAAAATTCCCTTGTGCATATATGCTACAGGGTGCGTGCCCTCCTGCTGATGGAGAGCAAAAAGAATACATAGAATTGGAGAATACAGGAACGGGGTGCTCACTGCACAGTCCTTACAACTTTTCTGTAGGTTTGAAGTCTCTCAAAAAACCGCAGTGAGACATCACTCTGCCCCCACGAAGGTGCCGGTAGTCGAAACAACGGACAATCACCAGCGTCGGGAGGGTGTGTAGAAATCAGAACCCTCAGGCACGGCTGCTGGGGCGTAAGACGGGGCAGCCGTTGTGGACAACGGTCTAGAAGTTCCTCAAAACACTGAACACAGAATTATTATATGACCCAGCAATCGCACTACACATATACACGAAAGAAACGAAAGCAAGGCCACACACAAACCTGTACACCCACGTCCACGGCAACATAATTCACAGCAGCCGAAAGGTAGAAACAGCCCATGGGGCACCTGGGTGGTTCGGTCCATTAAGCACCAGACTTCGGCTCAGGTCACGATCTCACGGTTCATGAGTGCGAGCCCCGAGTCAGGCTCCGTGCTGACAGCTCAGAGGCTGCAGCCTGCTTAGGATTCCACGTCTCCCTCTCTCTCTGCTCCTCCCCCGCTCACACTCTGTCTCTCTCTCTCTCAAAAATAAACACATTAAACACTTTTTTTAGGGGCACCTAGATGGCTCAGTTGGTTAAGCGTCCGACTCCGGCTCAGGTCATGATCTCACAGTTTGTGACTTCGAGCCCCGCGTCGGGATCTGTGCTGACAGCTCAGAGCCTGGAGTCAGCTTTGGATTCTGTGTCTCCCTCTCTCTTTAATGCCCTTTCCCCACTCACACTCTGTCTCTCTCTCTCTCTCTCTCTCTCTCTCTCTCTCAAAAATAAATAAACATTAAAAAAATTTTTTTTAAAGGTAGAAACAACCAAGTATCCGTCAATAGATGAATGATACATACCGTGTGTCCAACGCGCACGCGCACATCCCTCGGCCGCGAGCAGGAGCGAGGCGCCCACACCCGCCACCCCGCGGACGGACCCCGAACACACGACACTCAGGGAGGGAACCCGACACGAGAGGCCACACGGGGTGTGAGTCCACGTGTGTGAAACGTCCAGAACAGTCTCATCCAGGGACACGAGGGGGGCTCGTGGGGGCGGGGGCTGGTGGGGGAGGGACTTGAGGTGAATACTAATGGGTCCATGTTTCTTTCTAGGCTGATGGAATATTCTGGAACTAGATAGAGATTCTAGGTGATGGCTGACAACTGTGTACTGAAAACAGAGTTGTGTACTTACATGAGGGAATTGTGTGATGTGTGAATTATATTTCAATTTGTTTTTAACGTTTATTTATTTTTGACAGAGAGAGAGAGAGAAAGAGACAGAGCATGAGTGGGGGAAGGGCAGACAGAGAGGGAGACACAGAATGTGAAGCAGGCTCCAGGCTCTGAGCTGTCAGCACAGAGCTCGACACAGGACTCGAACTCACAGACCGCAGAGATCATTGACCTGAGCCCCCCAGGCGCCCCCTGAACTATATATTTCAATGAAGCTGTTATTAACCTGCAACAACGCCTGGGGCAGGACAGCTTCCTGGGCGTGGGTCCCACCCCCGTCACGCAGAGCCCGAAGATTGTCCTCCTGGGGGGCAGGGTGGGGAAACTCCAGGAAGGGAAGACTGAGTGTTGCCTGGTGGGAATCAGGATGTTATTCCAAGTTTGTGTGTTGCACCCTCTGCCCAGCGAGGTCACGGATCCCCTCATTCTGTCCTTCCAGCCTTCCCTTCCCGGCCCATTTTCCAGAGACACCGAGGCTTGGGGACCTGATACAAGCATGCAGGGTCCCTCAGGCACTGGCCTCAGGGCTCTGAGTGTGGGGGACATCCTCTCCCAGATGGGA